AGTAAAATTAAGCAGTGAAAAACTTGAGGCATTCACAGAAATATAAGCACTCTAATATTAATAGGGATCTTTGCAAAATTTCAATAACAGCAGGAAGCCAAATAAAATCTTCAAGTGTGAACTTGTAACAATGTCTTAGTTTTAGAATACATTATGCCTTTCAATTTAGTCACTTAAAACAAAATGGCAATATTAAAGACAAGTTATAATTTGCAAATGTACCCATTCTTTGTTTCTAAGAATACTAATTTAAATTCTATAGTTGCATTTAAACTAGAAGAGGTAATTTTAAAATTTCATTCTTTAATTAAAAAATCATAAAAATCATATGAAAATTGTAAGTTTCAGAGCTTAAAATATAAGAAGGAAACATATATAGATATTTTATACTTTACCTTTGATCTTTCCTCTATAACTCTCATGCCATTTTATAAATATTGCCAGCATATTTACAGGTTTTAATGGGAAAGCTTATTTACATCCATAACAAAGGCACATGCAAATTATAAAAGAGTTTGACAAAGAAATAAGGAGTGACCCATAACCAGACTCATTAAGAAAAAAGAGAGAGGACCCAGATAAATAAACTCAGAAATGTAAGAGAAGAAGTAACAAAAGATACCACAAATACACAAAGGACTGTAAGAAACTACTGTGAACAAATATATGCTAAGAAATTGGACAACCTGGGCAAATTGGAAAAATTTCTATGAACACACAATCTTCCAAAACTGAATCAGGAAAAAGAAGAAAAGCTACAACTACAACTACAAATACCAACTACAACTAATGAAAAAGAAGCAGTAATCAAAAAACTCCCAACATACAAAAGCCCTAGACCAGATGGCTTCACAGGCAAATTTTACCAATCATTCAAAGAAGAACAACTATTGTTCTCAAACTACACCAAAAAATTCAGAAAGAGGGAAGACTCTTTTTTCGAGGCCAGTACTACCCTAATTCCAAATCCAGGCAAAGACAGGACAAAGAAAGAAAATTACAGGCCAATATCTCTGATGAACATAAATGCTAAGATCCTCAACAAAATATTAGCAAACTGGATCCAGCAATACATCAAAAAGATCATACACCGTGATAAAGTGGGTTTTATTCCAGAGATGCAAGGATGGTACAATAGCCACAAATCAATAAAACCTGATACATCACATAAACAAAATGAAAGACAAAAATCATAGGATCATATCAATAGATGAAGAAAAAACATTTCCTAAAATCCAGCGCCATTTATGGTAAAAACACTCAGCAAAGTGGGAATAGAGGAAGCATACCTCAATGTAATAAAGGTCATATACAAAAAACCTACTGCCAACATCATACTCAATGGGCAAAAACTAAAACCATCTCCCTTAAGATCAGGAACAAGACAGGCATCCGCCATCACTATTCTTGTTCAACCCAGTACTGGAAGTCCTAGTCACAGTGATCAGACAAGAAGAAGAAATAAAAGGCATCCAAATTGGAAAAGAGGAAGTAAAGCTGTCATTATTCCCAGACAACATGGTATTATACATGGAAAACCCAATAGGCTCCACCAAAAAACTACTAGACCTAATCAATGAATTTGGCAAAACAGGAGGATACAAAGTCAATATTCGGAAATTGATGGCACCAATAAAGAACAGAAACAAAACTAAGAAAACAATACCATTTACTATTGCAACAACAACAAAAATAAAAGTACCTAGGAATAAATTAACCAAGGAAGTAAAAGACCTGTACTAGAAAACTATAAGACACTGAAGAAAGAAACGGAGGAAGATACAAATAACTATAATCATAATTCTTCCATACCATGTTCACGGATAGGAAGAATTAACATCATTAAAATGTCCATACTACCCAAAGCAGTCTATAGGGTCAGTGTAATTCCTGTCAAGATACTAATGGCATATTCCATAAATCTAGAACAAATATTTCAAAAATTTATATGGAACCAAAAATAACACTGAATAGCCTCAGCAATGTTGAGAAAAAAAAGAACAAAGTTGGAGGGATCACAATAACTGATTTCAAAATATACTACAAGACCACCATAATCAAAACAGTCTGATACTAGAATAAGAACAGACACATAGATCAATGGTGCAGAATAGGCAGCCCAGAAATAAACCCATGTCTTTAAGATCAATTAATATTTGACAAAGTGGGCAGGAGCATACAACACAGTAAAGTCAGTCTTTTCAATAAATGGTGTTGGGAGAACTAGACTAGTGCGTGGGGAAAAAAATGAAACTATACCACCATCTTACACCACACACCAGAATAAATGCAAAATGGATAAAAAACTTAAATATAAGTCATAATACCATAAATATCCTAGCAGAAAACATAGGCAGTAACATTTCGGATACCTTGCATAGCAATATTTTTGCCAATATATCTAAGGCATTGGAAATAAAGGGAAAGAAAAACCAAATGGGACTACATCAAATTAAAAAGCTTCTTCACAGCTAAAGAAACATCAACAATATAAGAAAGGAACCAACTATATGGGAAAGCATATTTGCCAATGATATATGGGACAAGAGTTTAATCTCCAAAATATATAAAAAATTTACACAACTCCTCACCAGAAAGACAAACAATCCAATTTAAAAATGTGCAAAGGACTTGAATGGACATTCCTCTAAGGAGGGAGGACATACAGATAGCCCATAGACATATGAAAAAATGTTCAACATCACTAACCATAGGAGAGATGAAAATTGTAACTACAGCCTGGCTGGTATAGCTCAGTAGATTGAATGTAGGCTGCGAACCAAAGGGTTGCTGGTTCAATTCCCAGTCTAGGCACATGCCTGAGTTGTAGGCCAGGTCCCCAGTGGGGGCCACGTGAGAGGAAACCACACACTGATGTTTCTCTCCCTCTCTTTCTCCCTCCCTTCCCCTCTCTCTAAAAATAAATAAATAAAATCTTTAAAAAAATAAATTAAAAAAAAGAAAATTATAACCACAGTGAGATATTACCTGACACCTCTCACACTGCCTTTTATTAATAAATCAACAAACAACAAGTCCTGGTGAGGATGTGGAGAAAAGAGAGCTCTAGTGAACTGTTGGTAGGAATGCTGACTGGTACAGCCACTGTGGAAAACAGAATGGAATTTCCTAAAAAAATTAAAATGGATCTGCCTTTTGATTCAGTGATTCCACAGCTGGGAATATACCTGAAGAATGAAGAATCACCAATTCAAAAGAATTTGTGCTCCCCCATGTTCATAGCAGCACTATTTACAATAGCCATGATTTGGAAACAGCCTAAGAGCCCATCAGTAGATGAGTTGAGTGGGTTAAAAAAACAACAACAAAAAAAACTATGGTACATTTACATAATGGAATACTGTGCATCAGAAAGAAAGAATTCCTATCTTTTTCAACAGTATGCATGGAACTGGAGACTGGTATACTAAGTGATATGAGCCAGCTGGAGAAAGACAAATACCATATAATCTCACTTATAAGAAGAACCTAATAAAAAAAATAAAATAAAAATAAACCAGAGACTCAGAATTATGGAGATTTAGAATGACAGCTGTAAGAGGGGAGGAGAAAGGTGGGAACTGATTGAAAGAAAGTGAAGGGGTTTTTAGTCAAAGAACATATAAGAAGGACCCATGGACATGGACAATGGAGAGGGAACTGATTATTGATGTGAGTGGACGGGGGACAAAGGGGGAAAAAGTCAGACAACTGTGATAGCATAAAAAATAAAATATTAAAATAAAGAAATAAGGAATTACACATGGCTAGAAACAGTAAGTCAGATGTATGAGAGTAAGCGAATGTGACTATCAAGTTTAAGTATGAATACTAGGCAAAAAAAGAAATAAGGTGAAAATTATAATACATACTTTCAACAGACATTTCTTTTACCCCATCTGAATGGCATCTATTGTCATTTAAATATAGTTTAGATATGTATATACCAAATGCCACTGAACTATATACTTTTAAATGCTTACTTTCATAATATGTGAATTTCATCTCAGAATTACAGACAGCTAGATAACTACATTAATACACATACATATATATATATATATAGTAATTACTGATCAATGTATCTATTTTAAGAACCCCCTGAGGTTCATCTAATGATAATGGTATAATCTTTTGTGAGGTACTTAATGTCACTCTAGTGCCTGGACAAAAAATGAAATCCTGTAGACTGGCAGCATGCCATTTGAAATGATGGAGTAAAAAATGTCAAATAAAGGCATCAAATCCTCCTAATATACCAAAATATAAGAATTTCTCAATGGCAAAGTTAAACAAAATTTTAAGATTACACTTCATCTGTTTAAAGCTTAATAAATAATGTAAAAAACATAAAAGGTAGTTTAGCAATGCTTAAACAAATTCCAATAAATATATTGATATTAGAACAAGAAATGTAATAGATTATTTTTAAATTTTTCATCAATTTTTACTTATGATTTATTAATGCCAACAAGCAATAACTTATACATAAAGGAGAAAAATACTAAATCCTAAAGGAATCATAAAACCAACTCAGCTATCATTATCCCACTCATTAAAGAATTTTATTATCACTATTTAATAAAATATTTCTTTAAAATCTCTCATGATACCACTTTTGAATACAATATCAAGGGCCTATTTCAAGAGAATAAATTCATAAATAAACTTCTTCAGAAAAAAAGGAAAAATCACAATAGTCACATTATTTCTATTTTTAATTTAAAATATCTTTAATGTTCAAATTTAATTCAAGTACTTTAAATATTTGTGCATAACAACTATTTTTAGTTTACAATATTTAAAGTACATATTTCCTTAATAAGATTAACATTTTAATGAATTTTGAAGCATTGTATTTAAGGGATTCAGCAAAAACAAATTAAGTGCTAACCTCTAAGTGTTACAAGCATTTACCAAAAATCTATTCATCATTTTATTAACATTATACCACCATGAACTATATCAGAATACACATATAAACTAAATTAGAAACGTACATCAACATATTGTATGATAAAGTGTCTCCTCTGTCCATCAGAATATACAGAAAGGACATATTCACCAGGTTTCCCATGGCTCTCTCGCACCAAGAAGTCCCCTTGTTGTTTTAACAGATCCTGTGCTTCTATTCTGGGAATTGCACCATGGTACCATTCCTGTTCCGCCAGGGGCTTCTCACTTATGGAGATCGTATCACAGAACTTGAGCAAATATTGGGGAAAAAAAACTAAATTAGAAATAGTAGTAATTTTTTCTAGTAAAATTCATAGCAATTACAAATACTTCTTACATATATCCCTCCCTTTAATTGACCAATTAAAAATTACATGATGAATCTGAAATTTTCATAATTTTTAGAATAGATATCTCATGGAATACTGGTGTTCAAGTTTAACACAAAAATAGCCTTCAATATTTAAGTTTACTTGTCTTTTCTATCTGTCATACATAGGTACATACAATATCAGCATTTAGAGTTAATACATACATATTTATAGTCTTCAATGCATCATGAAACAAATCCGTATATTTAAAACTTATTAACTAGAGAATTACAAATAAAAGAAGGGTATTATGAGAGAAATTTATCACAAAACAACTTCCATTTTATTTAATTAAAAGTTATTTCTTTTTGTGGAATTAACTCTTGATTACATGGGCTGTGGACTGTCCATGTCATACATCCCAGGGGCACTACCGAAGGCTTCACTTGAAGCTGCCTTACTGCTGTGCCTTTCCATTCTTATCCTCATTCCCCTTACTTCCTCAGCCATTACCTCTCCACGTGGATAGTTGGTCCTGACCCTGCACAGCTATAGTAGATTAAAAACTTAGGAGAAGTAGCATCACTGAAAACCACCAATGTGCAATTACAAATGTGGCAAAAACAAGGGAAGAATATAAGCCATGCACATGGCATGAAAAGCAAATTACCTGTTATTTTTGGAGGTCAAATGTAAGACCAAATAGCAGAGATAACTAAAAGCTGACTGTATTTCCTTGAAATGTTTCTAACGGATAATAAATAAAATCATACATTTTATGATTAGAAGGAAAAACTGTTTGTTTGTGTTTGTTTGTTTGTTTTTAATCAGGAACTAAATTGCTGATCATTAAGAGTACTTTATAAGTAAGGTATAATAATGTGCACTAACTCAACTCTCAAGTTTTTCAAAATACAATATGCACAATGCCTTACTGAATTTATGAATTGGTAAAATTAGATTTAATAATAAATGAAGCCCTGGCTGGTGTGGCTTAGTGGACTGAGTGCTGGCCTGCAAACCAAAGGGTCAGTGGTTTGATTCCTAGCCAGGGCACAGGCCTGGCTTGCAGGGCAGGTCCCTCCCTAGTAGGAGGTGTATGAGAAGTAACTACACACTGATGTTTCTCTCCCTCTCTTTATCCCTCCTTTCCCATCTCTAAAACTAAATAAATAAAATCTTAAAGACAAAAATAAATAAAGGAAAATATTTGCACATGAGGTTTTTTAGGCTAATATTATATTATTAATTGCACATACAGACAAAGAATGGTATCTTTGTGGTAATTAAAACTAACTTTGAAGATAGCTTTCACTGTTTTGTACCACTGAACAGGCCCAAACCTTACTGGTCAAACTTTCACTTTACAGTATCCAAAACTCACCTATTAATTAAAAAAAAAATTGGAAAATCCCAAATAGACTTATAAGAATCCACATTTTGGCTGCTATTTCAAACACTTATGACATTTTTTATTCTTTAAATATATACATGGTGTGATTGTACATGCAAATTTTTGTAAGCTAAATTACCTTTTTTCTATTAATACTAATTATGATAAAATACAGCATTTCCCAAAATACTTAAATTTTGTTCCCAAAAATTCGTTTAAAACACGCAAAAAAAGAACCAGACACAACAATAAGAGGTAAATATGTGTATACATTATACAAATGAGTATGTATATTGCTTTAAAAAACAAATTCATAATATACACAAAACATTTTTGTGTATACTACACTATTAGTTTATAGTCCTTAAAGTAGGTTGTCAACTGGTTAAATATTTCTTTACCAAGATTTTATCACAGTACACATCATTATAGTAAATAGTAAAATTTTTACTCTAAGAGCAATATTTCCAAGTCTCACCCATGGTAAAAGTATTTCATTATTTTTTTCTGTTAAAAAGAAAAAACAACCATGAAATAAGAAATTCAGTGTCAACTTTTTTACAAAGAACTTGTTGTCACCATTATCTCTGGAAAAGGTCTACATAATACAAAATTACCACAAACAAGAATGTCATACATGCTTCATTTCTTTTCCTATTCAACCTATCCTCCCAAATTTGATTTATTTAGGAGAATGGAGAATCTGGAGAATTCATTTACTTAAAAGGGGCACTTGAAATACAAAAGTTCAGCTAATACTCTGAGAAATTCATTGAAAATGTGAGGTTAAAACATTTAAGTTTGTTCATTTGTTTTTTTAAAAGAATGAACAGAAAGGAACCTGTTGCTATTTCATAGAGATTACAATTCAGTTCTTTTGATTGATTAGTTTCTTTTGAGTAGTAGGGGAAGCTTAGAGATCTGTTACTACCCAGTGCACAGACAACACTTAAAACATATAGGCTGAAGTTGGTATGAGTGCATGTGTGTACACATGCATGCACACACGTCCACAGGGAAAGGTCAGACATCCCCTATCTGGGTCTATCAGGTATTTCAGAGACTTCTCTGGAAGCACTGTAAGGAACATTTTTATTAATATGATTTTAATGAAATTCCAATACAGTTTTGCAGGCTCAATAGTAATAGAATGTAAGATGTGTCAGCAAAAACATCCAACATCCTAAGAGTTGTCATAATGACTTTTTATCTCAAATACCACATCTTTCTAAGCCTCAGTAAGAAAAGATTTTTTCCCTTCATGATAAGTTACCTAAGATTTTTGCCAAAGATGTGGTGGAGGGAAGCCTCTTTTTTAAAATTACAGTTAATCCAATGCAGTTAATAAGTGTTACTTAATAAGACAAGATTTCCTGATTGACCCAGCTGTTTCATTAGCTGAGCCTTGTTTTTAACAATATTCCAGTAAAAAACATGCTAGACCTAGTGAAATGAAAAGGTTAGTTTAAATAAAGAGGAAATAAGGAGTCAGTACTAGGAAATGAAAATATTTGGGAGAAAAGTATAATAGGCCATTTTTTCCTTACTCTAGTTCAGGCTAATTACCAAGGGGGTATGCCTTTATTCCAAACATTTGAGTGCAACATGAGCTCTTTTTGACAGGCAAAGATAAAGTGTTAAAAAAAAATCAAAGTCTAAATTCTATTAAAATTAAGCACTTAATTAAGAAACCATTTTCTTTTTCTTTTTAATTAAATTTGTTGGGGGTGACATTGGTTAATACAATTACATAGGTTTCAATTTACGTTTCTGTGATACTAGATCTGTATATTGCACTGTGTGCCCACCCACCACCTAAAGTCAAACCATCTTCCATCAGCATATATTAGGCCCCCTTCACCTTCCAACCTCCCAACTCACTTCCCTCTGGCAACCACAACATTGTTGTCTGTGTCCATATGTTTCAGTTTTTATCTCACATATGAGTGAAATCAAATGGTTCTTAGCTTTTTATGACTGACTTATTTCACTTGGTATACTATTCTCAAGACCCATCCATGTTTTCACAAATGGCAGAATTTCATCTTATGGCTGAGTAGTATTCCATTTTGTACACATACCACATCTTCTTTATTCAGTCCTCTATCAGAGGACACTTTTGTTGTCTCCATGTCTTGGCCACTGCGAATAATGCTGCAATAAACATAGGGGTGCATATATCTTTGCAAATAGATGTTTTTTAGTTTGTTGGGGTAGATACCCAGGAGAGGGATTGCTGAGTCATATGGTAACTCTAGTCCTAATTTTTTCAGGAACCACCAGAATGTTTTCAAGAGTGCCTGTACCAGTCTACATTCCCATCAGCAATGAATGAGGGTTCGCTTTTCTCCACAGCCTCTCCAGCACTTGTCATTACCTGACTTCTTCATAAGAGCCATTCTGACAGGTGTGAGGTGGTATCTCATGGTAGTTTTGATTTGCATTTCCCTAATAGCTATTGAGGTTGAACATCTTTTCATATGTGTTTACCATTCATAGGTCTTCTGGGGAGAGGTGTCTGTCCATTTTCAATTGGATTGTTTGTTTGGTGTTAAGTTTTTAAATATATTCTTGATGTTAAACCTTTCTCAGAGCTGTTGTTTGCAAATATCATCTCCCATTCGATTGGTTGCCTCTTTGTTTTGTTGTTGGTTTCTTTTGCTGGGCAGAAGCTTTTTAGTTTAATACAGTCTCATTAATTTATTTTTGCCTTTACTTCCTTGCCTTTGGGGTCAAATTCATAAAATGTTCTCGACAACCAATTTCCATAGTTTAGTACCTATGTTTTCTTTTATGAAATTTATTGTTTCAGATCTTATATTTAAGTTTTTGATCCATTCTGAATTAATTTTTGTACACGGAGACAACCTGTAGTCTAATTTCATTCTTTTGCATGGGATTTTCCAATTTCCCCAGCACCATTTACTGAGGAGGCTTTTCTTTTATTCACTGTGCATTTCTGGCTCCTTTGTTGAAAATTATCTGCCCATATACATGTGGTTTTATATCTGAACTCTCAATCTGTTCCATTGATTTGTGTGTCTGTTTTTCTGTCAATATCATGCTGTTTTGATTATCAGAGCTCAGAATTATAATTTGAAGTCAGGTAGTACAATACCTCTGGCTTCATTCTTTTTTCTGAGAATTGCTTTGGCTATTCCAATTTTTTTCTGGTTCCATATAAATCTCGATGATTTTTTAAACTATATTTTATTGACTTGTACTATTACAGTTGTCCCATTTTTTTCTCCCTTTTATCCCCCTCTGGCCTGCACCACCCCTCCCTCCAGCATTCACCCCACCCTTTAGTTCTTGTCCAAGGATCATACATACAAGTTCTTTAGCTTCTCCACTTCCTATACTATTCTTAACCTCCCTCTATTTTTTTTTACCTACCAATTATGCTTCTTATTCCCTGTATCTATTCCCCCCTTCTCCCCCCTCACCCACCCCACTGATAAATGTCCATGTGATCTCCATTTATGCGATTCTGTTCTAGTTCTAGTTGTTTGCTGAATTTGGTTTTGTTTCTGTTTTTTAGGTT